CAAAACAGTCCAACTATGAAAATCAGCCACACATCATTAAAATGCTAAGGTTCAAGGGGAGTTCTGCTTGCTGTCAGTCTAAGGAGAAGTTTGGGGACAAAAAGGATTCCACTTAACGTTTCCCCAGAAAATTAGAAGAGGTGGGAGGAAGAAAAGGCAGCCAGAGGAGTTGGAAAACTGTTGGTCTGCCAAACACTCAAACCAACTTAGTGTCCATGGATGGCAAGGAAAATGCCTCCATTTCTAGGCAAGGGGCTTGAGATGGAGCTCACTTGGTAAACAGGTTGCCAAGATGCAAGGCCAGGCTTTCCGTCCACAGTACCACAGAAACTGTGCACAGTGGTACACATCTGTAACACATCTGTACTGCCAGTGCTTTGTAGATTGGGGCAGGAGGATGAGAAATTTAGTGTCATCGTCAGCTACATAGTTCAAGATCAGCCTGGGAAACAGGAGATAGCTTAAAAAATGATACTGTCGCTATTTCCCAATAAGGCTTTTCTTATATAAAAGTGACTTACAGGGTCATAGTGTTCTGTAAGAACAGTCTTGGGCCCCACTACAGCCTAGGGCAGCTTTGTCATTACTGTGACAAAATACCTTAGGAAAGATCTCAAGTGGAGAACTTGAGTACAATTCTAGTTTCTTGCTTCTCACAAATTCAGACTAATTTCTTCATGGTTGAAAATAAATTACAATGACAGGGCTTAAGGATCCTTGGCCTGTAGCTTAGGTTAAGGGTCAGGCAGTGCTATGAATTGAGCATGGAATGTCTGACCCCTCCAGCTCGGACACTGAATATTTGGTGCTCAGTTAAGTACTGTCACCTTAAGATAATGGAAAATTTAGGAGGTTGAGGGGTGCAATTGGAAGGAGTAAGTAGGTGACTAGGATCAGATCAAGAAAGTTATACCCTATGTCTCCTTCTTCTCTGCTTCCCATAGACCACAGGTGAGCATCCCCTGCTTTGTGTTCCCACCTCCAAGTTCTGCCTCAGCACATGTGCAGAATCAAAGGAGCCTGGGACTAAAGATGGAAACCCTAAAACCCTGAGCCAAAATTCACCTTTTCAACCTCTATTTACTCACACCTTTCTTGGAAATGGCTTTTCAGATTGTCATTTCAGTTTGCATGTTTTTAAATCACTCAGCTGTAGATTATCAAGAGATTTACAATCATTTTCCATTGTTTTCATTTCACAGCAGTGTGTGTGTGTGTTTACATATGGTCTTGCTTTAAGTCCAGGCCTAGCTTAATTTCCCTATCATAATGGTATTACAAGAAACATGAAAATCCTTTTTTTGTTGTTTTTTCCAAGTCAGGAAGTCTTCTCTGTGTAGCCCTGGCTGTCCTGGAACTCTCGCTATAGACCAGGCTGACCTCAAACTCAGAGATTCACCTGCCTCTGTCTCCTGAGTGCTGGGATTAAAGACGTGCACCACCGTACCCATTCTGAAGCATGGAAATTCATAAATTTTTAATGTCTTATTAAAAGAAACTTTTTCTTTTTTTTGTGAATTTCACATTACACACCCCAGTCCCACTCATCTCTGCACCCCTCCATATCTGCCCTCCACCTTTGGAACCTCTCACAAAAATAAAACAATTCTCACCGTGGAAGCTGTACTGTGTCAATGTGTAAACCCTTTTGCCCAGTTTTACTTGCAGATGTTCATTGCATTGAATCACTGGTCTGGTTTGAGGCCTCTGGCTTCCGCTATACTGTCAATACTGGATCCTCACCAGGACTCATGGATATCCTGTTGTTACCCTGTGCCATGGAGCTCCTGCAGCTTTGGTTCTGTCAGACTAGCCCTTCGCAAGCTCCAGCAGTTCATACATGGGGTAGGTGTTGGGGTGGGCCAACTCAAAGCCCAGGATCTGGGCCCAGGTGGTAGCTGAGCTGGTCAGCCTACCAGCTCTCCTGTGCCACCAGGTCCAGCTCTCCTGTGCCACCAGGTCCAGCTCTCCTGTGCTACCAGGTCCAGCTCTCCTGTGTCACCAGGTCCAGCTCTCCTACTTTACCCAGGTGAGGGGAAGGGCCAAGTCTGCCCAGCCCTCAGACATTAACATGGCCCCAGTTGGCAGACCAGGCCAGGGACATCTGCATAGCCTTTGGTGATAACACAGGCCACAGATCCCTGCTGTGGCAGGGCCATAGACCCAGACAGGACCCCCAGTGTTATTACTGGCTGGGACTTTGCCATGGCCTCGGGTAGCACGTCAGGCTGACCCTCACTACCCTTGTGCCTCCAGTTCTGTCTCTCTTCATATTGCACAAACCATTGAGCTTCTTTCTCTCATCTCTCCACACATAGTTGCTCATCACAGTGACGCTCATTTGCCTGCATGGCATGGCAGAAGGGTTGAGGGTTCTGAGTGTCTTCTAGGAAATTCTTAATTTTGACATTCATTTTTCATTTATTCTGTGTACTTGGTTCTGAAGCTAAAAACTCACCACCTAATGTAAGATCATACAGATTTATTCCTGTTTTGTCTAGGAATCTAATAGTTTAAGATCTTACATTAAAAAAAAATTAACATCAATATGTACCTACCAAAAAATGATCTTACACTCAGGCTTATTTTGTGCAAATTTTTGTATATGGCATTATATAGAAACCAAGGCAGAATCTTTTGAATTGGGATATACAGTTATTCCAGCACCATTTATTGAAACGACTATTACTTAACTCCACTGAGGAGTCTTGGCAACCATGCCCTCAAGTCGCATTACCTTAAAGGTATGTATTTATTTCTGAATTCTCAGGTCTAGTTCATCGATCTATGTCTATTCTTTTCTGTGTTTGCTCATGTGCATGTGCATACGTACACTCGAATACCTGCAGAGGTCAGAAGAGAGTGCCAGCTACCCTGGACGTACTGGCAGTGGTGAGACACTTGATATGGGTGCTGGGAACCAAACCTAGGTGCTCTGCAAAAGCAAGTGCTAAGCCATCTCTCCATCCTTAATCATCAAGCTGTGATTTTTAATAGACCCCTAGACCTTAGCCCAACTGACTCCATAATGGAAGTACCATTCAGGCTGTAAAACACAGCATGTAGGCAGTATTTTTCAAACAAATCTTTACTTTTCTCCATCTTCTTCCCTTGTCCCTCTTACACCCCCCAACCTGTTCTGACTTCTTTCTACACTCAATTTACATGTGACCTCTTGTCCCACCCCCCTAACCCTTTTTGTTCCCTGTATTTGATCTCCTATTTGAATTTTAAAACCAATTTGTTGGTTTCCCTAAGTGCCAGATGGGATTATTTTAAACAACAACAACAATAAGGATTACATTAAACCATGGAAGAGCATGGTGAATATTGCCTTAACTATATTCAGTCTTCTAGATGAATATGGAATATCTCTGCATTTATTAGATTGTCTTTACTTTTGAAAAGAACATTTTGACTTGACATATTAACTGGTTTTGCAATGTTAAATTAACCTGGCATCCCTGGAGTGAATCAGTTTGTCACGGAATATAATTAATTCTTTTCTGTACAGTATATTACTAAATTCGATTTGCTAATATTTTCTTGAGCTTCTTGGATGTAGATCTGCATCACGATTAGGATACTGTTATAATTTAAAATATTTTCTTCTCTCCTTTTCTGTCCTCTTTAAAATATATATTTCTTTTTATATGGGTGAATGTTTGCCTGCACGGATATATGTGTAGCACATGCATACTCAGTGACCAAGGAGGACAGAAGAGGACTTCGGATCTCCTGTAACTGGAGTTGCAGATGATCACGATCCTCTGTGGAGGTTCCAGGAACTGAACTTGATGTATATGATGGCTACTCCTAATCGTCAACTTGACTACTTCCGGAATTAACTAAAAACCCAGGAGCTAGACACACCTAGGAGTGATTTTTAGCTAGCTGGATCATTTGAGGTAGGAAGATCACCTCAAATATGTCCTATACCTTCTCATGGAAGCCAATATAAATAAAGAACAAGGAAGAAAATGGTTTGCTCTGCCTGCTTGCCCTCACTCTCACTGGCAAATTCATCCCGTCACCAGTATTAGGGCCTACTTCTTCAGGATTCTGGTATATACTAACGACCCTTTGAGACATCCAGCCTTGTAGAGAGAACTCCTGGATCCATGACCTGTAAACCACTCTAATAAACCCCAAATGGATTCATTCTATCAGGTCTGTTTCTCTAATGAACCCTGACTAATACAGTACATTAAGTGTAACTGTAACCTTCTTAATGGATTTTTCCTTTAATGGGTAGTTAGTATCCTTCCATACCTCTTCTGATTACTTTGGCTTGAAGTCTGTTTTGTCAAACATTAAAACAGCTATACTTGCTTGCTTCTTAGATTCACTTGCTTCAAACCCCTTTTTTCCCATTCTTTTACACTTAAGGTGATGGCTAGTCTTGGTGGTAAGGTATGTTTTTTGAGTTCAGCAGAAAGATGAATCCTGTTTTCTAATCCAGTCTCTATGTCATCTTATTGGAGAATCGAGGCCATTAATATTGAATTATTAATGAGCAGTGCTTATTAATTCCCTTTATTTTTGTTGTTGTAGTATGGGAACCACACCCCTACCCATTTTGACTAACTGCTCTAGGATTATTTATTCCCTGTGTCCTCCTAAGTGTATGTTTCTCTTCAGAGTGAAGTGAAGGATTGCTTCTAGTGCCATCTGTAGAGCTGGATTGGTGAACAGGAATTGCTTAAATTTGTGTTACTGTGAAATGTGTTTCTCTCTCTGGAGAGTGGGATCATAGTTTTGCTGGGTATAGAAGTCTATGCTGGCATCTGTGGTCTCTGGGAACTCATAGAACATCTGTTCAGTCCCTTCTGGCTTTCAGAGTTCCCATTGAAAAATCAGGTATTATTCTCAATGTAGATGTATTAAATACAAGTTGTTCAGTAGTGATGAAACAAACTTTTACAACAAATTTTCAGCAAAAATGGATTTCCCCTGGTATGGATTTTAAAAGAAAAAAAATTCAGAAATACTCCTGAAGGTAAAGCTAAACATAGTTTATTTAGGCCTGGCCATTTAAAATCTGAATATATACATAAATACATACATACACATATACATTCAAATATAGTGCTTTCAGGAAATTAAACAAATAAAATAGAATTTCTTCACCTTTTCCTCTCCCTTCCCTCATACAACTACTGCCAATGCAGGCCCAGGTAGTCATCAGCTTCTCGGTACTGCTAAGAGTCACACGGGCTGCATACTATTATTAGTATCCTAGAAAAGCAAAATATCCCCAGGACTTCAGAGATTGCAGAGTATTCTGTGTAAGTATGTCTGAGGAGTAACAATTTATATTGCTTGTTCTCTTCCACTAACATAGCAGACAAAAACACAAAGCAAATTTCCTACTAGAAAGCAGATGTGTCTCTTCATGTATAATTCAGTGAAGGCAGAATTGGATGATGAAGAGTTTATTTTTCATTAGTAACCTTAAAATCTGAATACTAAAATTAAGTTAGTAAACACCAAGGCTCTCCTGAGCCATGGACAGAAGGCCAGTCTCAATGCTCCTTAAAAATAGTAATCGACTTGGAAAATGGATATGGAAACTCATGCTGAACTACTTAGCCTCTCTAGCAGTGAGAAATTTAGTCCAGCATGGCATTTGTTAATGTCAGTGTCTACCATGTGGTTTTCTCTGTTTTGGATACAGAAGAACAATGGATACTACTTTTTATGAAAAGTTTTAAGCTTTGAAAACCCTCTGAATATAAATAGTCCAAATACCAGTTCCATTTCTTTCCCTGCAGGTACAAAAAAGGGAAAATTACTTATTGAACATGTATACTTGTTCCCTACTTCCTTTTCTCTCCCCAGAAAAGATTACATCATCCTGGATGTACACTGAAAACAGCTTAGAAGAGCTAGGTTCATCATTAGAACTAAATCACTGAATTAATCAATGCACTAAATATTGCTTTAATTATATTGATGAAGCATTCATCAGAGCAAAGTACTATGAAATAGAAAAGCTCCAGTATTCTCATACATTAGAAATTCAGTATCTAAAATAAAGGACACAAAAGATATTATGTCACTCACTGTCTATGCTGTGTACACAGGAGGATTTCTAGGATAATGACAAAGTGTACACAGTGTAGTTACATCAGTTTCATCTTAGATACATACAACTGTACTACTGTATGAGACAATGAATGATTGGAACAGCAAGAGTCAAACTAGCAAGAGTTATATCCTAGACACAATGAAGGTCTATTCCGATAAATCTGCATAAAAGTTATTTGACTGCATTATGAAGGCAAACATTTCATTTTCACTTTTTAGAAGCAGTAGGAGTAAGACTAGGGAAAAAGAAAAGGCATACAGAATCTCTTGTTTAAGTTACATAAAGTTCCTCTGTGAGGAAAGTAAGTTTATTTACCTGAATAGAGCTCAGGTGTACTGTCATTTCTTCTGGGCTCTCCTTTAAAAAAAGGAAATGAGGAATCATAGAGATGAACACAGTAGGTTAGCAAAAGTCATCAGATAATAATCATGGTTCTTCCCACAGTGATTCATCTGGCAAAGTTCTATTCCTGCCATCTGCCTGGGACTCCTGAATAAACACTCACTATGACCCCTGCATTTCCTTTTTTCTAAAAGCACAAAGAGGAACAATAAAGGCATAGTGGATAGCTGAGCTTCTAAAGTTAGCTAATCTAAGATGATGTTCTCTTTTTATTTTGTACACAATCATTAAAGTACTGATGGGTGTTACAGAAGACTTTTTCCCTAAGAAATGTGGTATTTGAATTTCACCTTAAAAGAAAAAATACCATTTTCAGTTTTCCAAATTGCTCAGTCATCTCCAGCCTTCCTGGATTTTACTGGAGTCCACTGTAATAAAGTGTGGCTCATCTCGAAGTTTATTGAAATATTTATTTTTAGCTAGTTCGGCTAGACCTTTGTCAATTTTGTTTATCAATTCAGAGAATCAGCGTTTTGTTGCACTGATTTTATATACTGCTCTTTTAGTTCCTATTTTATTTATTTCTGTCCTAATCTTTATTATCTCTTGCCATTTACCATGTTTCTAGAAACTTGTACATCATTAGTTTGAGATCACTGTTCTTAAAAAGTTGAGGATTTTTTTCAAACTATATATGAGTGTTTTGCCTAAATGTACATATGTGGACCACATGTGTGTCTGGTGCTCACAGAGGTTAGACAGAGGAAGCTGTTGGGTCCTCTGCAAAATCAGTAAGTGCTCTTAACCACTGAGTCATCTCTCCAGACCCTACTATAATTTATTTAAAGTAAACACCTATAGCTATAAGCTTTCCCTCCAGAGATGCTTAGCTGTATCCCAGAGGTTCTGGTAGGTTGTGGTATGATTTCATTTGATTCTAGGAATTTTTAAATTCCTAGGTCAAGTCCTAAAATTCATACATTCAAAAGTGTAATCTCTAGTCTCGGGGTATCTGTGTAGTTTCTCTTACTATTGATTTCTAGTCTTATTTCAATATGCTGGAAGGGATTAGTTGAATTTTTAGTGTTTATCACAGCTGCCTTGAAAACTGCACTTATACATGCAAAAGAATGAAATTAGATCCATATCTTTCACCTTCCTTGAAAATAAATCCAAAATGAACCAAAGGCCTCAATATAAGACCTGAAATTCTACAACTGTTAAAGAGCAAACACTTTAGAATACAAGCATAGGCAAATCTTTCTGGAAAGGAGTCTGACAGTACAGCCAACAATCCCAAGAACTGACAAGGGGGCTTACATGAACTTAAAAGGCATTTGCACAGCAATGGAGACTATCAGCAGATAATCCACAGAATCAGACAAAATTTCTGCCAGCTAAATGACAGACAGCGAGCTAGTATCTAAAGGACTATAAAAACTAAATATCACAAAAACAAAGTAGCCGATCAGTAATGTAACAAACTAAACAAAAACTTCCCAAAAGAAGAAATACAAATGGCTAATAAATGTTTTATAAAGTGTTTGACATCTTTAGCTATCAGGAAACTAAAGATTAACACTGCCTTGGTATTCTATTTCACCCAAGTCAGAATGGCCTTCAGGAAAACATGGGGCTAGAGATGGCTCAAGACTTAAGAGCACTTGCTCCTGCTCTTGCACAGGATTCAGTTCACACCCATCTGGTGGCTTACAATCCGTTGTAATTCTAGATGCAGCAAATCTGACCTTTTATAATCCCTGAGGCACCAAACATGCCTGTGGCTGGCACACACACACACACACACACACACACACACACACACAGGCAAACCATCCATATACATAAAATAAAAATAAATCACAATCAAACAAAAAAGAGACAACAATAAATGTTAAAGAGGCTCCCTTATTAACTGCTTGTTGGAGAGTAAATGGCTATAACCACTATGAACATCAATATGAGATATTTGAACATATATGTATCTGTTACTGCACTATTCATAAAAGTCAGGAAATAGCGACACCCTTTATATTCATCCATAGATTAATGAATTAAGAAAATGTGGTGCATTCACACAACTGAATTCATTTAACCATAAAGAAAACTGAAATCATGACATGTGCAGGAAGATAGGTGGGAAATCTACATTAGCATCTAAAGCAGAATAATCCAGACTTAGAAAGACAAATACTGTATGTCTTCTCTCCCACATGGATCCTAGATTTTCTGTATATTTGTGTGCATATGTTCATGTGCACATATGTAAAGATCAGAAGGGAACCTGGTATGGGTCCTCAAGCACCTTGTTTTTGAGACAGCATCTCTTCAGTAAGCCGAGGCTTGCCGATTAGAGAAGGCTGGCTGGCCGGCCATCCAGCCCCAGGGATCCACCTGCCTCTCCAGCACTGGGTTCACAAGTACATGCCTGGCTTTTTTAAGATGTGGGGTCATAGGATCAAACTCAGGTTATTCTGTTGCTCTGCAATCACTTTACTGACTGGGCCATCTCTCTAACCATCTACCCCAAATCCAAAATTTAATTTCTGCACATGCATGTATGTGTGTAGGGGAGTTTAAAACTGGAAAGAGGAGCAGGAGGAAATGGAGTGTTAAGGAAGGAGGGAGGGAAGGAAAAGGGTAATGGAAATCGTGACATGAAGTGGATAGGAGCTATTGGAGGAGGATGGAAGAGAGCAGGGGAGTGGGAAAAGTGCAGGAGAAAGATCATCAAAAGACGTAGGAAGACTTCCGGTTTGGGCCCGAGCATAGAGTAGGTCGCAGGCGGCAGCTCCGTACTCAACCCCAGAAAACCGAGAGAAACAGGGACTCCCAGGAGCTTGAACTCACGCAGCATCCCAGGTAAGGTAAAAGCAACACTCTCCCCAAACAAGGAGCAACCGGGACCCACTGGGACCCAGGAATTCGCTCCTGGCCCGGGGCGGGCTCC